CTGCTGGGATGTGAGTCCAGAACTGGGATTAAATTACCAGGCTCGTGCCGAGCTCTGCCATAAGAAATTACTTATGTCCTAAGTCGTAATATCTGGACCTGAAATAGCAATGTTGATCCTATATTAATTTTTACCTTGTCAAATAGTTGATAATGCAATGTGGCTGGCTTTAATGCTGCATTATAGGTTCTAAAGCTGGATGATATCAAGGTGCTTTAAACCTCATTGATGGGAGGAACAGGCGGCCAGTACTTACTGCTGACCTCTACTGAACATGTTTTCCAGCACAGGGTATTTAATACTGCATGCACTAATCCAGGCTTAATGTGGACGAGGAGAATCCATTAGATGAATTGCATAAATGCTTGATGCGCTAGAAGCAGTAAAGGGCATTCTGTGGGATTAGATATTAACGCTTAACCCAGTCGTGGTCTGTAGCTCCTGTTCTTGTTGCCTTTCTTGTGTTAAATGTTCGTGTATTTAGCAGCATGCTGGCAGGAGCTGCTCCCTTAGGTGTGCAGCTGCGGGAGGTGGTGATGTGCACAGCAAGGAGCCTGGTTATGGCTCTTACCAAGAAAAATGAAGAGGCCTTGTGTTGTCTCCAAGTGCTGTCACTCTTACTGAGGCAGGGTGGGTGATCTGTAGGAGACCTCAGTGGTACCTGCACGCAGAGTCAGTAGGAGCTTGTCCGTGGGCTGGCTGTAGCAGGAAATTACAAAAAAAAAAAGATGAAATTGTTTTAAAAACTCAGATACTTCCTTTGTATCAGATTTTAAATACATTTTTGCAAAGGATGCTCAGTTTCACTGATGCTGTGAACTGCATTAAGGACTTGCATTAAGCTTGTGATGTTTTAAAATAAAAATTATCTTTAACTGGCACTTCCAGAAGCACCAAGCAGCTGCAGTTTCTGTTGGCCACTGTAAAAGCTGCTGGTGCTCCTGATTTCCCCCAATCAGGTCAGCTGTGATGCTGGTGGCTTTCCAGGAGATGTGTGCTCTTCCCACCGTGGCCTTTCTGCAGTGGGCAGATAGGATGGATTCACTGTTCCTACCCTTGCTGCCTAAAGATCAGACATCCAGGGTTTGTCAGCTTGAGAGGAGTAAAACAAATCAGTGTCAGACTGCAGAAGTGTCATTTACAGCTAGGCTGGAATAAATACCTCATTTCTAGACAGCTGGAGCTGGGAGGGAGTCCTGCTTGCGTTAGTGCTCCCTTCTGAGAGGGAGATGATATAATATGTGTCAAGTCAAGTGCATGGCAAGATCTCCAGAAACAAAGTCACTGTAGTAATTATTCATAGCGACTGAATGAGGACTTAATTCAGTGGCTGGTAGGAACATTAGGTTTGTATTTTCAGTCCAATAACATAATATCTAGTAAGACTTTATTTTTCTGGCGTACATAAATTTTGCCTTTGGCTTTGCCTTATCCAAATCGAATAAAAAAAATAATAAAAATAAAAAATCAAATAAAAAACCCCTAAACCTGAAGTGCAGTCACTGCTGAGGCTGCAGGAGAGCAAGGCAGTAAAACAGGAAAAAAATGGACCATGCTGATAGCGATATTCTTAAAAAAAATGTGTCGTGGCATAACTTTGAGGTTGAAGTTCTTGTGCAGTAGCTGTAAATGCCTGTAAAGGGTTGAATCTTCTGCCAGGCTGGTTTGTTGAATGTAACATCAAAGGAATTTGTTTTTTTGGGGACTATGACTAGTTGTAAATTGGGGAAGGGGGGAATGGGTTGATGACTGCAGTCCCCACCTTCCTGGCTATTGACTATGATCAGTGGTGTCGAAGAGCCACAGTGAGCAGGTGGCTAAAATCAGGACACTGAAATAGGATTATTTCTGTTCAGTTTAAGCTCGGCTAGAGGAGTCAAAACACATGGTGAGTGCAGTAACAGTTGGGTACTTGTAGGTGGGGTTCTGAGTTGCATCTTTAGCCCTCCTAAATGAGTTTGGATGTAACTGAGCTAACAACAAGCTGCCCTAAAACTCTGCCTCTATCTAGTACCTAGCAGCCTGGCTGAACTTAGCAGAAATAATCAGATAGCTGATTTGGTTTACATCAGTGGAATTGTAGGGGGGAAACCTTTCTGTGAGCTACTGCTTTATTTAGAAAATAAGTTTGTTGCCTAATTTGGTCTTTTTGTCTCTTAATATGTTTACAATTGGGCTTTTTGTGAAAAAGCCTGACCTGTAATTGTGGCTGTTGCTGCATCTTTGCAAGCAGTCTTGCAGCTTCTCTGGGAAATTCTTGGCTTGCTTAACCCACTCAAAACTCAAATAGCATTCGGTGAGAGCAGAGTGGGTTTTCATCATTTCTGATGATTTGTCTTGCAGAAGAGATGCAGAGTAATTCTCTGGGACCTGTTTGTAATGCCCTGGAAAAGCACTTGGTTTCACTTTTCAAATTCTGAATGATGTCAACGTGGGAATCTGGAACTGATGTTTTTTTGTTTGTTTGGGAAAAATCCCTGTCTGTAATCTGGGGTTTCCTAGTTCAGTGGCTTTTGGATATGAAATCAGGCTTGTAGAGAGGCTTTTTATACTCCAGTACAGCATCTCAATGTGCTAAACACTTACAGTTTAGCTAACTAACAAAAGTTAGCTAGAAATGGCTTATCAACAAGTAAGATAACTCAGATTTCTCTAAACGTGCGACTGGTTACAGGCGAGCTTGGATCTTAGCGGCTTCCACATGAGAAGAAAAGGTTTCTCTTAATTTATCTCCAGTTCCATGTTCTGATGTTAGAGCTCAAGAAGCATCCTTCATGTGGCAAAACACCAGCTTTATTTAATCCTGTAATCAGATTGTTACTGCAGGCAGATAGCCCTTTTCTATTAGAGAACTGTGGCTGCAGAACAGGCTTTAGAACTTTGAAACAGTCTTCCAGGATCTACAGCTTCTGCATGAGTCTGCATCACATAGAGATACCATAACTGGTGCTCCAGGCTCAGCCTTTGCAATGGTGGTCTTGAGACAAAACCCTCAAGGTTAGAGAATTGGAGAACAGAGGGCTTTTACTGAGAGGAATGAGACCTGCTTCCTCAGCTCCTTCACTGTGTATGTGGGATATAAACGTGGTCATGCTGGTACACTACTGGCCTTTTTTCGGTTGCCTAGAAGCTATCTGTACCTGTATACAAGATATATAGGTTCTGCCAAGAAATCTTGTATCTAGCTCAGCCCTCAACCAAGAGTTTTGTTGCCTCTTGCATCTTTAATCTCAGTCCGTGGGCTGATTTATGTCTTGGAGCTCACGAAACTGCACGTAAGCACAGGAATGGGCTTTCTTGGGAAAACCCCAGTGATCTGGAGGATTCTGCAGCTACATGATGCAAGAACTGGAGCTGAAGTGACTCTGCTCTGCTCCAGGTAAATCTCTGCTCTGGTGCCAGCGCAGGGTGGCACATTGCAGAGCCAGGCATGTCCCCGCTGCAGCAACCACTCTCTTCTGAGGTGGTCTGGTAACGAGAGCTGTTTGCTCGTCTTGGAGCAATGCCATTCGTGTAACTGACATTAAACCGTAGGCTAAGATTATTTAAGTGGATCATAAATCTTTTGTTGGTGAGCATGCTGTGGCATATGACTGCAGGGTGAGGACTCTGCTGCTGTAACATACCCATGTGCAGTCAGTATCACAAGCAGGCATGTACGTAAAGCCATGAGAGCTGCTGGATTTGTTTCATAAAGTTGAACAGAAAACCATCTTTTCTTGACTACCCAGCACTCTGGCCCTGTAAAATTTGAGTTGCAAGGCAAAGGCGTGTGCTGATCTGTAAGTAAAACTGTAGCCAGGTACTTAAGGGCTCAGTGATCCAGTTTATTTGGTTGCCTGCTTCTGTTTCTGGAATAAAACTTCCCATAGTCTGTCCAGATGAACAAGGTCAGCACCCTGTGTCCGAGTGGCATGGTTAGATCCTTAAGTGGAAGGGGATGATCTGAGATTCTGCTCTCACCACATACATCTTGCTTTTGGGGTCTCTTGCATTCTCAGTTGCGTGTGAGCCTGGAAGTGGTGCAGGGGCCAGGAAATGCTTCTCTGGAGATGCCATGCTAGACTGGTGGTGGAACTTTCTTGGCTGGTTGAGCACTGCCAAGGGAAGGGTTTGTGCTCCACAGCGCAGCAAGCAGTCTGCAATCTGCCTTTCAGAGAGGAGTGTTTTGGCCACTCAATCAGTCCAGATTCAGCCCTCTTCACTGCTGCCTGGCTCTTCTGACTGCTGTGAATGGCAGGACAGCACAGAGAAGTTAGTATCCAGTGCTGGGATCTCTGTAGTCTTCCCACAACTGACTCAGCTCTGAGAGTCTTGCTTCACAGGTGGCTGCTGACCACAGAGGCACTGGAAGGTGATGTTTGCTGTCATTGCCCATCAGTATTTGGCTCATCAGGTTGGACTGATGTTATTAAACAGACACAAATGGTATTCAGAATTGGGAAATGCTTGTGGTGGCAAGAAATTTGGTATTGGGAACACAGGTAGATGGACCAGCTTAACATTCACATAAGAAAGGTAAAAAAACCTTTGTATCTCAGTAGAGCAAGTATCTTAACATTTTTTTTTTCCTGCACAGAAAGAGTAACTTAAAATATTTGCACTGGCAAATGTAAAAAGGTCTCCTCACCTTAGCAAACATTTTTAGTCTGCTTCTGAACCCAGAAAGACAGCACTAATATATTGAGTTCCAGCTTTTCAAATCTATTTTACCCTGTTTAACAACAGTTGTTGGATAGTGCTTCTTGAATTTGGATGTGGTAAATAACTTTTGGCTTGTTTCTGAGCATTACCAGCCCAGGTCAGTCCTTGTGTTTAAATTTTTCTTGTTTAGTTAGTGACTTGCTCATTAAGTTATACTGTGGGGCCACATGAGAACTGATATATAAAATGAACAACTTAATGCCCTTAATTGAAATTGTTTTTTCCAATTTTTCACTGTAATGGTTGCTTATGGGTCTCTCTTTTGTCCTGTTTCATAACTAAAATATTTTGCTTTTTTCCAGGCTCACATTAAATTTCCTATTGATTATCCATATTCACCACCTACCTTCAGATTCCTGACCAAAATGTGGCACCCCAACATTTATGAGGTAAGGTGTTTCTTAAATAACTTCTTCTCAGGCATGTGCGAGGGCATTCTACTTCCTTAAACTTCTGGAAGTAGTGAAGGTACTAAATATCCCTAGCCATAACCAAAGTGATTAGCTGTTGGTATTAAATGTCAACTTCATGGTTGAACAGTTGACTCTAAATGCTGTAGGAGATGCTGTTCTTGCAGGCAGGGATGGAGCTGTTCTCATAACTGCAAGTGCTGCGGACAGCCCCAGCTGAGGCGCCGTGCCATCAGCCTTGGCAATTTCAGGGGATCCTTAGATCGAGGCTGTTGTGTGGGGTCTTACTCTGCTGTGATAGTTAGGCAACTAGTCGTTGTTTGTACGCAGTTCCAGTACACTTTAGTTTGAGTTATCTCGTGTTCTGAGACAAGAAATAATGGAAAACAGTCTTTGGCAACAGTCAGCCTGCAAACGAAGGGATTTGGGCTTGGGGTACTCTGACTGCAGAAAGAACCAGAACTGGGCTGGAGTCCAGATTCAGGAGGAGTCATACACAGTCCAGGCACCCTGGGACCAGAGTGAGCAGATGCCTCAGCACTCAGTGTCTCCTGGCCAGTTTGAAGTGGCCCTTAGCTCAGTGTGAGTATGGGTCACATTCAGAAGGTAGTGCTGTGGGCTGTCAAGTCCATAATTAAATCATAGTACAGCTACATAGCACGTCCAGAGGGGGAATGATTTTATATAGAAGCAATTGATTCAAAATTACCAAATTTAACAAAGCCGTATGTAAAAGCTCAAGGCCTCTTCTGGCTCAAAACTTGACTTTTAGTAAAGGCCAGTCAAATCCTTGCTAAACTTTTTGGATATTCTGAATATCCTAGACAAGTGTCAGCCTGCTAGGAATGCTGGTTGAATAGTTTGAGGAGATAAAGGCCTTTCAAAATGTGTCTGTTGGTGCAGCTCTGTCACCTTATCACACCTATGAGAGGTTCTGCAGGCTTCCTTTGGACTCTCTTCAAAAGAGAAGTGTCACTTCTCTTCCTTGCTGTGAACAAACGATGGCTTCAGCTGATGCCTTGGGCTTGGAAGGCCCTTTTCTAACAAGCTGTTGCTGCTAAATGTCCAGCCTGGAATAAGCGTGCTTCAAATGTCATGGTGAAAACTGCACTGATTGTTTAGTAATAAGTGACCAAAAGCTTCTCTAAACTTCAGTGTGGAACAGGATAGTAATCAGCTTTAATTACTGGGCACTCAGGAGGATTGCCCTAAGCCCAGGGACATCCTGAGATCAGTCATCTGACAGTCCTCTGGCTTGAGTTTTGGACTCAGCACAGAATCTTGCATGTAGCCAAGGATGGTGTTTCTCTTTAAGGTGCTATTGCAGTTACATAGGAGTTTGGTCTATAAATAAAGAGAACTTTGAGACTGCATATTATTGCAGATCCATACTGTGAATGTTGATTCTGAATCCAAAAATGCTCATGCGGGAGGTGAGAAGGAAATGGTTACCAAAATGGTATGTACAAAATGAGTCTTGGAAAGGACCTCTCCCAGTCCTGGTGGGAAAGATGGAAAATTGGCTCTGGAAAAACTGAAGGTAGGAGGAGAAACTAACCCAAACTTGATGGGTGTATTTTGGGGTTACTCTTCAAATACTCCAACTCTCAGCTTTGTACTTTGTGTTCGTACCAGTATTTCTTGAAGCTAAGGGAGTACGAAGCAGCTTGCAGGCTGTTTTGGAAACAACATTTAAGCAATGAAGATGAGGCACTGGGATAACTCCAAATGAAACTGAGAATAAATCACCAAAGGGCTTAAGGTTTGAGGGTTTGTCAGGAGGAGTTAAAAAAAATAAATAAATCTTTTAGTTCAAGGAAGATGAAAGAATGTAGCAGTTTATAGAATGTGCCGGTGGGACCAGATGGAGAGGTTGGGGTTGGCATTCCAGCTCTGAGCAGTGAGACTTGAGTTACTTGGGTGTTTTGCTCATCTCCAGTTTACTTGGGTCATCTAGTTGAATTTTGGTAAAACTGCATTCACTTGTTCTTTATCTTTACGACATAACAGTTCTCAGTTCTAATAGAAGTATAGGCTGTTTCCCACTGGCAGATGAATACCCCATTCTCCTTGTTTATATCTTTCAAAAATGTATGTAGGGGAAGGCTGGCCCCATCCCCAAAACCTTGTGCTGACCTCATCAGGTCCCATGACACCTTTACCCTTCCAGACTCTAATGCAGTGCTGCCCTGCTTGAATTTACAAACATATAACATGGATTGTTGCAAGAGGGAAACTTCTCACATCCTTGTTTCCTTCTGTATTTTCATATTGCCAAATATCTGCTTGTCTACATACTGCTGACCTGATCGCTCAGAGAACTTCCTGCGAGTGCTGTGGTGCTTTCTCCTGGCCTCCAGCACTGTGTTCTCCCAGGGGATGGTTAAAGGAGAAAAATGGGTAAACTTATGGAAATTATTACTAAAACCAGAATAGGCTGTGAACATAATACAACATTAGTAAGATTAACTTCACTTTAAAATGATACTAAAAAATATTTGTAGATTTCACGAGGCTGTTGGAGTCCTAAAAAGGAAAATGCCTTGTTATGGCAAACTGTTCCAGCAATATAAGTGCCTGCTTGCTTATTCAGCAGCTCCAGGTGCTGTGTTGTTGTGTGTTGTTGTGTTCTTGACAAAAAACCTGCTTTAAAATGACAAGGGCTTGCTGGATTAGCATACCTGGCAGGGTTAGTGAGACACTGAAATCTGGATACTGATCACAAGCCTCCAGTGTTGAAGTAGCATCTCATTTGGCTATAAAACAATTGTCATTGTTCTCATCAAGGTGAGTTGAAATGTTTGGGAGGCTCTTCAGGTGAGCTGCTGCTATCTGTATCTGGGATCACTGGCTCAGGCTCAAAGGCACGGATGCTATCGCTGTGAGCAGCACTGCTTCGTGCTCCTGTGCATTGAGCAGCGTTGGAGAGTCCTCAGGATGTTGGCTGAGACCAGCCACATGGGGAACTGCCAACGTGCAGTCTCAAACAGAACCAGTCCACAGCTTCTCTCTTGTTCCTGTCATCAGCCTGTGCCTTGGGTCAGGGTGACAAGGGACAGTGTGAGATCTGCCTGCCAGCTGAGTCCGGGCCACCTGAAGGTGTGGGGCTGCCTCGAGGAACTTGTAAGTCATCCCAGAAGCTGTCTGCAAGAGGCAGCAAGACAGCAGAGCCTGGAGGGGCCAACAACTGCTGCCTGACCTCAGGCCCTGTCTGCACCTTCACCCCATCCTGCAGTAAGACACTGGGACCCCACGAGTCCCCAGAGTCAGCTTCAGTGGAGAATATCAGCCATGGTGAATACAGCTACAGCACTTCTACAGAGTAATTGTGTCAGAGTGCTGTGGCTGATGGAGAATTGGTTTTACAGGCTTCTTAAAAGTGTTCATAAATGGTAGGCATTATGGAGCTTTAAATCTATATTCAGGCTCTAACAGTGGTGAATAGAACACAGATTGAGGATTACGTGGCTGTATGGCTTCCATATGCTGCCAGAATATTCTTCCTCTTGCATGCTGGAAGGGATTTTCAGTGAAACCTTCCTGCTTTTTCACCTGATACTTCAAACAGCTGTGTCCTAAGGGAGCAGTGTAAGCCTGCCCTGCACCATCTGTTCAACTTCCTTCTGTCCCAGGAGAAGCATTGTTTTGATAACTTGAGCTAGTAGAGTGTGCTAAACCCTCAATTCAAAAATTCCTGTAGTTAACTTAGCTGCCACAGGGAACAAAAAAAAAAATTAACCCTACTTTGGGTCTCCTGTGACTAAAGGTTTTTATCACTGTGCCAGTACTTGTAATCTGGAAGCCAGTTTAGTTTTATGTGACTTTATTACTATTCTTGCTTGTTTTTCTACGTTCTTTAAACCTTTTGACTTGAGATTGTTTTGTGTGAATTTGCAGACTAACCCTGTTTAGCAAGGGAAACCTTTGACCATATAAATAGAGTAAAACCAGGAAGAACTGAGAACCATATCCAGTTCTTGCATATTTTAATTGTCTTTTGGGGAGTTCCTATCAACAAGGTTAAACTGTTCAGAACATAACCAGAATGGTGGAATTGAGTCATCAGATCTCTGCCTCAAGCCAGGCTATTCTCAACTGTGGCTTCTGTCTTGCAGAATGGAGATGTATGTATTTCAATTCTTCATCCACCTGTAGATGACCCACAAAGTGGAGAGCTGCCATCTGAGAGGTGGAACCCTACACAAAATGTCAGGTAACTGTGAATCTGATGCACAATTGTGACCTCAAAGGCCTGTTGTCTAAGGCTAAGGCCTGTGTTAGGAGAGGTTTGGAAGAAAATTTTAAGAGTTTGGGGGTTTTAGGGCTTGAATTGAGTGAGAACCAAACTTACCAAGCTGTCTGAAGATACTGGAGTACCATGTGTCCTGATACTGGGCTAACAATGTGGAGCTTTCTGTCCTATTCACAGGGTTTTATGCTCTTAAAGCAAATTATCTCAAGTGCTGTAGCCTTTCCCAGTCCGTGTTTTCCGACACTTTGGTTTTTCAAACTCCTCCAAGATACTACTAGTGGGGGAAAAAAGCATTTTTGAGTATTCGGGCCCAGTAGGAGTAACTTTGTGCATAATCCTGCTTACTGTTTGCCTTTCAGTATTTATCTGTCTCCTGTCCTGCAGTGTGATACCTTGAGCAGTTAGCCAGGTGGTTTTCTTCCTCCCAGAAAACAGGAGGATCATTAAGTACCAGAGGCCCAGAGGCATTCAAGGCTAACTTGTCCTTTTTTTATTTTTTTTGAAACACCAGTTGAATTTAATTCTCATTACAAGACACTGCCAATAAAGAACTGAATAGATGACAAGCCTCAACTCATAGTTAGGACGCAGCTTTGGGCATTAATTACTTATATCAAACACACATTGTGAGTATTTCATTATATACAACTCTGAAGATGAACATGAAACTTCTCATGGCGCTAGTTCTCTGATTTCTGCTCTTCCTTACCACAGTGTGTTTTTGTTGCTTACTCTCTTGCAACATGTTGGGCTTAAGGGTGACATTTGGGGATAAAACATTCCTCAGCTGTATCAGCAAATGGAAATAAAACTTGTCCTTAACTGCTACCCTGCCACCGGCATCACCCGATAGAAACGTGTCCTGCTGGTGTCCCATCTGGCTTTGCAAGGCTCTGGAGCATCAGACAGGAGACAGCAGGGCTGGAGGTGTGGGAGGGGAGCATGCTTGTCATGACCTGCATGTGTAACCTAGGGCTTCTCTTCAGCTGCTAAGTTTTGTAAATCCTGCTGAGTATCAACCATTCACTGCAGACTGTCCAGCTCTTAAGCAGTGATGGAGCTGATCTAACATGCTGGTTGGCAATGAAGAGAGCAGAGAGTCTCCCCTCTAATAGATATGCCTTGGTGTATTTAAGTAGCTTTGCAGTGACTTTGGAGTCTGGAGCGCCGCACTGTAAATCAGCTTCTCCTCACGTTGTTGATGGAAGTGTGGTAGGGCAGATGCTAAATCCAGCCATGAATTCCCGTCCTTGCTGTTCTCTAGACTTTGCTCACTCTACAGTAAAGCCACCGCAGTGATGCGTGATCTGACGTGCTGGCTTTATAGTGTATTTGCTGAGAATCAAAGGCTTCTAAATGAATTCTTGAGATGAAATAGAAGACAGTCTCTCTTCTGCCCATCATTCCCGTCTGACCAGACAGGGTTTTTTTTTCCAGAGCTGCTGTTCTCTTTTCTTACTGAATTATATCATTTGGAAAATAAACTGTACAAGACTCTCCTGATAGCTGTGCTGAACAGTCTGGCCAGACACAAGTATTTATGTTCAAAACCTTTCAAGAAACTCTGTATCCAAATGGCCAAGCATTTCCTGGAATTGTATCCCAGATATATGATCTAGTAGATGTGCTCAGCATGTGGTGCTCTGAATGTGCCTCTAAATCAATGCAAGTACAGCTGGGGCTGTAGTCTCCTTTAATCAAGTTCTGCAGAGCAGTTGCTATGTACTGCTTTATTTCAAGACTTATTCCTTGTCTCTTCTCCTTCTCTTCCATTTAAATGGAAAGCTATTGCCACCAGGACCACCTTGGACACGTGAAGCTATCGTGGTGGTAGCTACAGCCAGATGGCAGGATGGAACAAAATAAAACCAAAACTCATGGGTCTAGACAAAAGGCAGTTTAATAGAAGCAAAGCTGAAGCAAAAGAACAAAATATTTATTCTCTACTTCCCATCAGCAGGTGATGTTTGGCCACTTCCCAGGAAGCAGGGTTTCATATGCGTTGTGGTACCTGGAGGACAAATGGAAATAACAAATATCCCCCTGCCCTTCCCCTTCTTTCCCCCTTGCTTTTATTTCTGAGCAGATGTCATATGGTATTGAATATCCCTTTGGTCACTTGGGGTCAGCTGTCCTGGCTGTGTCACCTCCCAAGACCTTCCCCACCCACAGAGGGGAACGTTGGAGAGCCAGCCTTGATGCTGTGGGAGCCCTGCTCAGCAGTAACCAAAACACTGCTGTGTTATCAACACCTTTCTAGCTATCCATACAAACACAGCACTCTGGGGGCTGCTATGGGGAAAGTTAACTCCATCCCAGCCAGACCCAGCACACTGAGTTTTGTGCTGGTTGTGGCACTGTGTGAGGAGCAAAGGGCTGAACCTCTGAAGTGCGAAGGGTTGTAGGAAACAGAGGAGAAGAGTCTGGGTGAGGGAGGTGGTGTTTGCCCCTGGTGAAAGCCAGCAGAGAAGGGCAGCCAGCAGCTCTGTGCTGTCTCTCTGGCAGGGATTACTTGACTGGCTTGTGCTGCCTTTGCTGAGTACCAGCAGCTGAATCCTGCTGGGCCTTTGGCAGCTTGCTGGGTGTTGAAAAGCATCTGCACTGTCTTCCCCTTGCTGTGCTCAAGTGCTGCTACAACAGCCTCAGTGATGCACGAGCTGAGGAGAGGTGAGACCTGCACACAGCTTCAACCTCTCTAACAGCTGGTGGGGCAGGGGAAGCAGTGCAGTCTTATCTGATGGCCTTTGGTTGTAGTTCTTCTCCCAGCACAGGGTAGGCAGAGTCTGGCTTTCTGCCAGGAGGCTGGATGTCACCAGGAACAGGCTTACCAAGCAGGTTTCCTGCCCTGCACCATCCATGGGTGGTGTGGACAAGCTGAATTCTGGTTTGACCCTACCTTCGCCTGCTGCCCTGTCACAAGCATGTGCACAGACGTAATGGTCTGTAGTCAGATGAGATCCTTGAGGTTTGTATTGTGTCACCTTCCCTATGCCAATGGCCAGGGTCTGAAGTTCCATAAATATCTGCTCTGACTTCCAACATTAGGTTTAGATGAGATATTAGGAAGAAGTTCTTCACTGTGAGGGTGGTCAGACACTGGCACAGGTTGCCCAGAGAAGCTGTGGCTGCTCCTCCCTGGAAGTGTTCAAGGCCAGGCTGGATGAGGCTCTGAGCAACCTGGTCTAGTGGAAGGTGTCCCTGCTGATGGCAGGGGGGTTGGAACTAGATGATCTTTAAGGTCCCTTCCAGTCCTAACCATTCTATGATTCTATGATTATCCTTAGTTATCTTTAGCTTAAGTTTTGACTGAAAACAAGTTTCTGATGCATCACCTAAAGAAGTCATCAGCACCCATAATCTGTGACTGCGTTAGCTCTGACTCTGCTGTTGTGGTTACCTTTTTCAGGACTATCTTACTGAGTGTAATCTCTTTGCTTAATGAGCCCAACACATTCTCTCCTGCCAACGTGGATGCATCAGTCATGTTCAGGAAATGGAGGGACAGTAAAGGAAAAGACAAGGAGTACGCTGAAATCATAAGGTAAGCTGTGCCATATGTGATGCTGTGCTACCAGCCTTCTGCTTTGGATCCTCTAAAACAGATGCTCACAGAATTTGCAGAAACCAGCTTCTCACTGTAGTTTCTTCTTTGGAAATGAATTTTGCCATCTTATTCCAAGTCCATGCTTCTGGTCCCTCTAGGATTTTCAGCACACAGAAGCAGTACAAATTTCTGCAGCAGGAGGACTGGGCTGATCTCTCTTTAAATTGTTCTTTCTTCAGACTAATCTGGCATGATGCTCTGCAAAACCTATTGGCTGCTAGTAAATCCCAGTTGAAGTCCCCACTTGCCTTTGAGCACTGCCTGCATTGGTGGGGATGTGATTCAAACTGACTGCATCCTACTAATTCTGTGCTTAATGCACTCATGAATCATAATCTTGTCCCTCCAGTTCAGAGGAATATCAGTGGGATTTGGCAAGCGCTGGCAAAGCTGGGTTTGATTAGCTGGAAGCACCATTCAGTCTTGACTGTCCTTTGCTGAGAAGGTCATGGTTCATCAGGTGCTGTAGGGAGATGATGTAAACTTGAGCCAGGGTTGCTGCAGAGCAGTGGACAGGCCACCCATACTGCAGTGGGACCACTGTCACACTTGCCAGGGGCAAGACCACATCTGCGTTGACTCCACTAGCTGGGCATGCAGGATGTGATGACACCAAGCTGAGTGGAGCAGTTGATAGAATAGATGGAAGGAATGTCATCCAGAGGGACCTGGACAGGCTTGAAAAGTGGTCCCATGAGAATTTGAGGTTCAACAAGACCAAGGGCAAGGTTGTGCACTTGGGTGAGGGCAATCCCAGGTATGTGTGCAGGCTGGGAGAAGAACTCATGGAGAGCAGCCCTGCTGAGAAGGACTTGGGGGTGCTGGGGGACGAGAAGCTTGACAGGAGCCAGTGTGTGACTGCAGCCCAGAAGGACAACTGTGTCCTGGGCTGCATCAAAGGAGGGGTGGGCAGCAGGACAAGGGAGGGGATTGTCTCCTTCTGCTCTGCCCTTGTGAGGCCCCATCTGGAGTATTGGGTCCTCCCTCTGGAGTATTGTGTCCAGGCCTGGAGCCCCCAACACAAGAAAGATGTGGAGCTGTTGGAGCGGGGCCAGAGGAGAGCCAGGAGGATGATCAGAGGGCTGGAACACCTCTCTTGTGAAGAAAGGTTGAGGAAGCTGAGCTTGTTTAGCTTGGAGAAGAGAAGGCTCTGGGGAGACCTCATTGCAGCCTCCCAGTACTTGAAGGGAGCTTCTAAACAGGAGGGAGAGTGACTTTTTACATGGGCAGATAGTGATAGGACAAAGGGAAATGGTTTAAAACCAAGAGAGGGGAGATTAGGAGGGAATTTTTCACCCAGAGGGTGATTGCCCAGAGAAGTTGTGGATCCCTGGAGGCATTCAAGGCCAGGTTGGATGGGGCCCTGGACAGCCTGATCTAGTGGTTGGCAACCCTGTCCACAGCAGGGGGGTTGGAACTGGATGATCTTTAAGGTCCCTCCCAACTCAAGCCATTCTATGGCATACCCCTGGTTGGAGCTGCGCTGGGCAGTCAGTCTGTGTGAAGAGCCTCTCTGGGAGGTTGTCTCAGTCCCCTCCAGATCCCCTGGCTGCAGCAGAGCTGGATGTGCTCCCTGCACGGGGTATGGCAGACTGACAAGCACGCGGGTGGGGTGAAGGGACAGGCTGCCATCTGCTCGTGTCCCTGAGAGGCAGCACGGGCCAGCGAGAGTTGACAGCCCAAGTGCTGCTGGGCAGCAGCACCCAGAGCCTGTCCTGGGGTGATGGGAAACACTCCTGGCAGCGTTGGGGTTACAGCTGTGTCTTGGGGTGCAGCCACCTGCTCTGGCTGCTCTTACCCTCAGAGCTGCCAAACGCTTGTGGGAGTTGCAGTTTTGAGCACACTGGGGTAGAGTCACAGAATCACTGAATTGCCCAGATTGGAAAAGACCTTTAATATCATCGAGTCCAGTCCTGAAAATGACAAGACCTTGACTAAACCCTGTCCCTCAGCTCTATGTCTACACAACTCTTCAATCCCTCCAGGGATGGGGACTCCACCACTGCCCTGGGCAACCCCTGCCAATGCCTGAGAACCCTTTCAGGAAAGAAATTCTTCCTGAGGTCCAAATTAAACTGCCCTTGGCACAACTTGAGGCCATTTCCTCTTGTCCTGTCACCTGTTCCTTGGTTGAACAGACCCACCCCCACCTCTCTCCACCCTCCTCTCAGGCAGTTGTAGAGAGCCATGAGGTCTCCCCTCAGCCTCCTTTTCTCCAGGCTCAACAACCCCAGTTCCCTCAGCCATGAACTCATCACACTTGTGCTCCAGACCCTTCCCCAGCTCCGTTGCCCTTCTCTGGACACGCTCCAGCACCTCCATGTCCTTCTTGGAGTGAGGGGCCCAACACTGAACACAGGACTCAATAGTCATAGTGGTAGAGTCAGTAAGTCATGGTAGGAAATCCCTGAACATCCCTTCTGTAGCAGAGGTGATGAAGTCTGCTCTGACCTCTGGCAGGTCTCTAACGCAGCACCCTGTGGAATAACCGATTACATGAGTTGCCGAGAGCGTGTGTGCTGCAAACGCCCTTGCACTGCTCCCAGGCCCGGGGTGGTGGGAACTGAATCTGTTTCTCCTGCTGGCTGTGGTGCTTCAGACAGACATCAGCTCTCCTGACTCTGAGCTTCCAGGAGGGCTGGGGCTGGGGCTGGGGCTGGCTGGGAGCTGGGGAGTTGAGCCACGCTGCTGCCAACACGCTGCTGATGTTGCTGTGTCCTCCTCCCTGCAGGAAACAGGTTTTGGCTACCAAAGCCGAGGCAGAGAAGGATGGTGTGAAGGTCCCCACTACGCTGGCAGAGTACTGCATCAAAACTAAAGTGCCTTCCAATGACAACAGTTCAGATTTGCTTTATGACGACTTGTACGACGACGACATTGATGACGAAGACGAGGAGGAGGAGGATGCCGACTGTTACGATGACGATGATTCTGGCAACGAGGAGTCGTGACCTGCTCCCTCTATGCCCCTGTACTGCCCTGCCGACTCAGGCCAGAAGGGAGCAGCGGTAACCTAGCAGCAGTTCAGCAAAAAAAAGTGGGGGGGGGGATCAAAAAAAAAAAAACCACAAAACAAACTTTGTCTCCTGCTGTCTCCTGTTGTATGGATCTGTTTGCTCCTTTTTTATGGACCTCTTAGAGACCCTCCACAGAATGTCTGAATTCTTGCGTTCTTAACCCTTTCATCACTGTATTATGTTTTGGTTTTTGTTTTTTGGGTTTGTTTTTTTTTTGTTTTTTTTTTTTTTTTGAAAAAGAAACTCCCCTTTTCACTTCTCTACGAAATGCTCACAGCGAAACAGGTTTGCTCGCGTTTAGATTCTTGAATTAAATACAGTCTTGCATTGAGATGTTTAATGTATTTAAAGCTGGAACAAACCCATTGGAAGCTGGGTTTTTGGGAGCTCAAGTGCTGCATTTACTGGGAAGAAAAAAAAAAATCCACACAAAGCAAATTGCCAAGGTTTAGCTGCTCCATTTACAATAATAGCGTGTGTACATTTGTTTAGCCTTGTGGTGGTGGCTTTTCCTTTATAAGGTGCGGGGCGGAGAGTGTAAAGCTACTGTGTGTTGAGCTTGATGGGATGTTACTGAAAGGTACAGTATTCCTTTTCAGTCTGCTCAAGTTAGGAAATAGCTGGCCCCTGGAGCCCAAGAGGGCTCAGTCAGCTTTGTCTCTGAAAAAGGCTTGTGATATGAACCCTAAAATAAACACTTAACACTTCACGTCTGTACAACTGAGCCCTGGGTTGCTATTTATTTTTTACTTTTTTTTTTTTTTGTCAGACTAGGTTGGGGTTCAAAAAGTTCAGTGTAGCCATGCTGCTGTGATCTGCTGCCAGCTGCCCCTCTCTGGAGGGAGGAGAACAGACGTGCATCCTGCTGCCCAGTGGGCCAGCTTTCATCCCAAACTTGTTTTTGGCAGTGGGAGAGACCCATAGCCTCCTTCCTGCCTCAGTGCTTGCTAGCAGCCCTTGCTTCCTGCAGCCCAAGCCCAGTGCTGGCCTGAGCCTTCTTTCTGTTGCTTCTGTAGGTCATACATTGGTAACTGCTGCTCTGCTGGGTCAGCAGAAGTCAAAGCTGCTCTGGTGCCTGCCCGGGGTGACCAGGCTGTCCCTGTGCCAGGCTGTCCCTGTGCCCGCAGCAGCTGCCATGGCACGGGGCAGAGGGGATGCATGTGTGCTGGGCTCTCCCCTGCCTGCCTGGGCCCCAGGTGAGTGTGTGCAGCCTCCCAGGAGCGCAGGAGAGGGGTGCACAGTGCTTTCAGGCTGGAGGAGAAGGGCAGGGGCAGGGTTTGACAGGCTCTTTAGCAGCGTGCTTCAGCTGGTGCACTGAGCTGTGCCTCATGCATGTTTTTGGGAGCTCTTGGCAGAGCTTAGGGCCCTCCCTTGTGGGCAGGGGGGGATCCTGCATGCTTGTCTCTGCAGAACCCTCTTCCTTGGTCCCTCACACCTCTCACAGTGTCCTTTTCGTATTTGGCTGTGGTGCAGGGGCCCGAGTTCACCTTTTGTGCAATCCCTCGATCAGCAGCCATCCCTGTCCTCCTGTGCTGAGCACTGGCACCTCCAGGAGCAGGTCTGAGGCACTGGCCCTGCTTGGGTAAGACCTTGGTTCCACAGGTACAGAAGCAGTTACCCTGATAAGAGCTGTGGGCTTGGGCATTTGTCTCTGCCTCCCCTTGTATATCTCAGGGTTTTCAATGGTACGTCACCAGCTGCAGCCCCTTGAGGGGAGCTTGGCTGGGAGTAAACTCTGTTCTGCCATCATCTCAGTGGCTGTGTCCTGGGGGGAAAAGTGGGATGAGGGTGAGCAAGCTCAAAGCCTGCTGCCTGGAGGGACAGGAGGGGAAGGCAGCCCTTGGGGAGGGGAGGAAGGCTGGAGGGGGCTCTGTTTGAAGTGAGGCAGATGTTTTCTAAACATTGCTTGTCTGGGATTTGCTGCAGCAGGGACAGTCCCTGTTCCTCCACCCCAGGCTGGGCTGGTGGTCCATCCCCCTGCGTCCTGCTGAGTAAAGGCAGCTCAAGTGGTGATGCCTTCTCCCTGCTATGGTCTGCCCTCTGCTTGCATGTTACCTGGGGAGGCAGCTGGACCCCTCCTGAAGTGTCCAACATGGGCTGCCTCATCTTGTCCTTCCAGCAAGGACTGACTCAGCCCCTGGTGCTTTTTGGAGCTGGCAGTGGGGCTCCCTTGCATCTAGTGATGGTGTGGGGTGCCCCAAAGCTTTGCTCCAGCCCGCCGAGGGCAGTGCTGGTGTGGGCAGATGGGTCCTTGGGCCTCTTGGCTGCAGGACGGGATCGTGAGGCTGCAGTGGGACAGGGACACCAACCTCCAGCTTTCGGGGGGCTGTGGTGGGGTGAAGGAGCAGAGTTTGGCAACGCGGGCTGTGCTGATGACTTGGTTTGAAATGAGCATACTGCATCTTTCAGGATTTCCCTTGTACTTTTGACCGTCTTCACTGTATACTCTCCAGTGACTTGTATTTTCAAGCTTGGTGTTGTAAGATGCATTATCATGACTCTTCTGTTACCCTTTTTTTTTAAAAAAAACAAAACAAAACAAAACAAAGGAGAAGCACCCTATTTTGAGAGCTCTTACATTTCCCAGACTAGTTTCTCTTCCCCACTGTCCCTGTGCAGTGTCATTGCTTGTTGACTTGCTGGTTTCCTTTTTTTTTTTTTTTTTTTGAGATACAAACTTTAGGATGAGGTTTGGGTTTTGGGGTTGCTTTTTGTTTTGGGGGTTTTTGGGTTTTTTTTTTTGAAACTATTTAAGAAATTGCAGAAAAATGTTTACCTGATCTGTGTATACTGGTTTTATCTGAACCTTTTTCTCCTGTCTCAGCCAATATTAGCGTTTACATTTGCAACTACAAGCCCCTTCAAATGCAGTTTTCAACCATTCTGAAACCAGCAGGGTACACTAGATTTCTTAGTAGTTTTCTTAGCTGAAATCCCAGATATCTTCCTTCTTTTTTTTTTTTTCTTCAGTATAATTTACCAGAAGGAATTAACTGATGCATTTTTTGTGTTGTCTTCCCCTTCAGTAGTTATATTTTGTCTTTTCTGCACATCTGTCTACTAATAAAAATGTGAACTGAAAATAATTCCTGTACGGTTACTTCCCTGTTAATGGAGCTGGTTTATTTGCATGGGTTATTTAAAGCTCTGAATAACAGCTCTTCTGATACTGCTCCAGTATCAATGCTGGTACATATACATAAATATCTATAACATTGTTGGAAAATAAAGCTGCTGTTTGACAGCTGCCTAAAGAATGAACTGATTTAGAGGAGTACTTTGGCAAAAGGCCGTGGGCTTTGCTGTTACATTTAGACTTCCTGAGTCTGGAGGTGGGACACCAGGGGGAAGATAGATAGGTCATGGGCACCTGTGACTGCAGCAGGGAGCCAGGAATTGGGGGAAAAGCTGCTGCTGGACAGGGGTGGGGATGCTGCTGGGGCCAGTTCCCTGCCAGGGCAGGAGCACAGTGCTCCTGAAATTGTCAGAGAAGGGGCAGGGGCAGTTTCCTTGCTCGGACAGGGGCTTTGAACTCGTGCAGAAGGCTGACAGAGGAATTGAGGTCATCACTGCTAACGAACCTTTGATGGTGCTGGCCCATGCTGGTCCCTGGAAGCTCAGGACTGGAAAAAAAAGACTGAGTTGGGTCTGTTCAGCCTGGAGAAGAGAAGGCTCCAGGGAGATCTTACAGCGGCCTCCCAGTACCTGAAGGGGCTACAGGAAGGCTGGGGAGGGACTTTTGACAAGGGCAGGGAGTGACAGAACAAGGGGAAATGGCTTTAAACTGGAAGAGGGCAAGTTTAGATGAGATATTAGGAAGAAATTCTTCACTGTGAGGGAGGTGAGACACTGGCACCAGTTGCCCAGAGAAGCTGTGGCTGCTCCTCCCTGGAAGTGTTCAAGGCCAGGTTGGATGAGGCTTTGAGCAACCTGGTCTAGTGGAAGGTGTCCCTGCTGATGGCAGGGGGGTTGGAACTGGATGAGCTTTAAGGTCCCTTCCAACCCAAACCATTCTATGAAGTCTGTGTTTGCAGTGCCTTGCTGCTGCAGTCAAGCTAAAACTAGTGGGACAAGTGTTAGAGGTGCTGCATTTGGCATCATGTGCAGTGCAGCAGCTGCTGAGTCAGCTGTGTTTGTGGCCTGAGTGCCACAGCCAGGCTGCAGGAATGGTGATGGCATTCCAGACCTGCACTCCCAGAGGAATTTCCATATTGGAATGGGACTGAGTGGCATGGTGCTCTCTGGGCCTTCTGACTTTGATCAGGCTTGCTTGTATCTCCTGCCTGGCTCCTATAGCACTGGGCTGCCTGGAGCTGCCAGTAGCATCTTCATGCAGCAGCAGGTATGGTACCAAAGGCAGGACAAACTCTCCAGCGTGCCCTGCACCCCATAAACTTGACTGTCACTTGCAGAGATTTCTGGGCTTTGGTTTTGGGGTGGGTTTTTTTGTTTGCTTGTTTGTTGGCTTGTTTTAAATTTTCTTCCCTCTCCTTGATGGCCAAGTGCAGCTCAGCAACCTTGGCTCTACCATCAGACTGCAGAACAGGAAAGAGAGAGGAATGGCTGGAACCAGCAGCCTAGTGAAACTGGGAAAGCATCTTGTTTAGTCTCAGCTGGAGAGGATGGACCCCAGAGCAGTTAGGAAGGTGCTGGAGTTGCCTTTGCTGTCTGCTGCTGGGCAAGAGGAGGGTGCTGGAGGCCAACTGGCTGGAGCCCTTGTCAGAGAGTCTCTCCATAGCTGCTCTGCAACAAGGCTGAGGGGCTGCTATGTGCTGGCACCAGCTCTCAGGTGTTGCCTTTTGCCACTTCCAGCTGCTTCTGGACCCTGACACACAAGCAAGGACTGACCCACCCATGAGGCAGCCCTGGATTTCCATAAACAAGAAACTAATGTCTGCAGATGGCTTGGGACAGGGGCAAAGTTCCTTTTTTCAAGTAACAGCTCCTGTGAGGCAGCAGCTCTGAGTGTGGTACATGAAGGGGAGCCCCTCTACAGGCTGGTGGTCAGTCCCCAACCTGCAGAGACATTTTTGCCCTCCTCACCATTCAGGCCCCAAAGTGGTGGCAGTGGAACAGCAGCTGCCAAGGGTTTGCAGTAGCTCCTGAAGTTCGACCAGGAACAAAAGTTGAGCTGGGCCAGAGGAATGTCAGTTGTGCTGGGTGCCATACTGGCTTCTTCCAAGCCAACTGAGTTCCACAGGACTTGAGAACTGGTGACAGTGTGACTCAGAGAAAAGTGGTTTTCATGGTAGAAACAGATCTTTTTTTTTTTTTTTTATGGGTCTTCAAACTGAATTGGAAAGTACAAAAAAGCCCTTTGCCTGCTGTGTGGACACACAGCTTCACCGTGTGGACCCAGCAGACCAAGGCCAGAGGAGGATATGATGATGATGAAAGGGCTGGAGCACCTCTCCTGTGAGGACTGAGTTGGGGCTGTTCAGCCTGGAAAAGAGAAGGCTCCGGGGAGACCTTCTAGTGGCCTTCCAGTACCTGAAGGGGCTCCAGGAAGGTGGGGAGGGACTTTTTACAAGGGCAGGGAGTGACAGAACAAGGGGACATGGCTTTACACTGGCAGAGGGCAGGTTTATGAGCTATTAGGAAGAAATTCTTTCGTGTGAGGGTGGTGAGACACTGGAACAGGGTCTCCAGAGAAGTTGTGGATGCTCCTCCCTGGAAGTGTTCAAGGCCAGGTTGGATGAGGCTCTGAGCAACCTGGTCTAGTGGAAGGTGTCCCTGCTGATGGCAGGGGGGTTGGAACTGGATGGTCTTTAAGGTCCCTCCAAACCCAAACCATTCTGTGATTCACCCACCTCCTCTGCTGCGCAGGGCCAGGATGCTCAGGAGGACAAGCCTGGGGCAGGAGCTGTTCCTTGGGAACCCTCACCACTGACCTTTCTCCTGGTGAAAGGTCTCCTGACCTTTCTCCTCCTCATGGGCAAAGCAAGGGAGGGCAGCTTTGTGCTGCAGCTCTACTTGCTCCTCACCTCTCCCAGCTGCTCTGCAGGGACTCAGGCAGGACAGGGCACAATGCCAGAGGACACCACAGGCAGAGATGTGATGCTTACAGCAGGATCCCATCGCTGCTGCAGCTGCCTGTGAGCTCTCAGCACCAAGGTGCACTCACCTTTGTCACGGTATTCAGCATCCCCTGCAGATCCTCTGCTGCTCTCGCCCTCCCAGCTGAGCTTTTGTTGCAGGAGCAGTGGAAGGGGCCAGGCTCTACAAGCAAAACTGCTCCTGCAGCCTTTGAAAATGCAGACAAACACCAGTGATACGCTCAGATCTTTATTAGGTGGAGGAAGGGCTAAAAAGAAATGAAACTCCTAGAACATTCACCGCACTGGTGCAGGACAAGAAGGACCAGGAGGTGCCTGGTAAAAAAAAATAAAATAATAAAAATAGGGAGGGAGAGGTGAAATTTCCATCCAGTAGCTCTGGCTTTTCCTGGGCAGGGTGACTAGGGGCAAAAAGAGGAACAAGACACAGCTTATGCTTTTATTTAGGAAACCGCTACATAGTTTTTTGCCTCTAATGATGCAAAGGAGGTTCCAGGACACACAGAGCCATCCAAAGTCTCTTGCTAGAGAAACAAATGAAAAAAAAAACCAAAAAACAACCCACAAACAAAAAAAGAAAACCCTGTCTTTTTTTTTTTTTTATTATTAATTATTCAAAAATTGAAAAATAAAAATGTGAGGCTGCAGCTCAGGGCCACAGTGACCAAACTGCCCACGAGAGTTCATCTTCCATAGCAAGGGGGAGGGGAGAGACAAAAGAAAGGGGAAGGCCCACAAAACACTTTTTTTTTTTTTTCTTTCTTTTTTTCCCCTTCTTTGAAACAACAGCTATATGGGAAGCTGGGGGCAGAAATCAAACCAACAGGATGCATCTTGATTTTTTTTGGGTGGGGGGATGGAGGAGGAGGGGCAGGGCCTAGGCCTCCTTATGTGCCTAAATTTAGAACTGCATTAAATAAATGGGCTCCAGCTCCAAAAAAAAAAATAAAAATGGTGCAGTTTGTCTTTGACAGAGTTGTAAAGCTTAAAAAAAAAACCAACAAGGAAGGATGCCCTGGTACAGATGGGAAATGAATAATTAGTTTTCCTACAAAGAAAATAAAACAGGCTGCGAGATGCAGAAAACCACATTTAGGCTCTATTACATTTACAAATACATACATAAATATATTACATACAACAGCAACTCAAAGAGGAAGCGGGCGAGTCACACAGAGGATGGCTGGCTGGCTGCAGTCCTCCCCGCACAGACGTTTGGCTGAGCAGTTATTTCTTCTCCTAATAATTCCAGGAATAGGCTTCGGCTTCTTTTTCTTTTTCTCTTTTATTCTGTTTCTTTTTTTTTCCCCTCTCTCCTCCTTTCATTCTCTCCCCACTCCCCGGTTTCGGATTTAGTTTGTCCAGTATGGAGAAGTGCCATAGGCGGTTTTGGTAGCCTGAGACTTTTGCTGCATGGTGCTGGGTTGGTTGCGTTGGCCAGATCCACCCTAGAAATGGGAAAGGAAGGAGACATGGGCATCAGCACTCCCAGGAAGATGAGGCCACCTGAACATCAGCAGAAGAGCTGCCACCCCCCGGGGACAGCCCTGACACCCACCAACCTACCGATCCCTGTCCCAAATGGATCTGTTTCTGCTCTGCAACTTCTCTGCATCTCGCAACCCGGGGTGAAGAGCCACAGGGACACCAAGCAGGAGCACAGGGATGCACCATGCCACCACCACACACCCGAGACAGGTTCAAGCACCAGGAAGGAGAGGAGCAGGACTGGGGACAGCAAAGGAGCTCTCCCAAGGTGAATGGAGGTGGTGCACCAGCCAAGGATGTCACACACTGGGAGAGAGAAGTAATTTCCTATTTCTGGACTCTGAGGCAGAACACTGTATTTTCAGGGAACGTTGATAGTGAGGAAAGGAAACACACGGGCTGGTGAAACCAAATCAGACACTGGAGCTGACAAGCAACCTGCAAGGGGACGCTTGATTTTTTACCCTGAGTTACAGGCCAAGTGCTCAGGTCCTGCTCTCCTGCTGCAGCCAGGGGACAGCAGCACCTGCCTTGGCTTCACAGCTCACAGCCCATCTCTCCACACCCCACATCAGTATGGCCTCTTGAGAATCACAGGCTGTCTGAGGCCGGAAGGACCTCCACAGGTACCTTCTCCAACCCCTCTGCTCAAGCAGGGTCACCTAGAGCCGGTTGCCCAGGACCATCTCCAGACAGCTCAAGGATGGAGACTCTACAACCTCCCTGGGCAGCCTGTTCCAGTGCTTGGTCACCATCTCAGAAAAAGTGTTTCCTGATGTTCAGAGGGAACCTCCTGTGTTCCAGTTTGTGCCTGTTGCCTGTTTCTGTCACTGGGCACCACTGGAAAGAGCCTGGCTCCGTCACCTTTACACTCTCCCTTCAGGTATTTATGTACCTTGATAAGATCCCTCTTGAGCCTTCTCTTCTCCAGCTCTCTCAACCTTTCCTCACAGGAGAGATGCTCCATTTTCCCTTCATCACCCTTGTGGCCCTTTCTTGGACTCCTCAGTACATCCATGTCTGTCTTGTACAGGGGAGCCCAGAAGTGGACACAGGACCCCAGCTGTGGCCACACCAGTGCAGCTGAAAGGGGGAAGGATCAGCTCCCTCGACCTGCTGGTGATACTTTGCCAGGATACTGCTGGCACATCATTAGCCCATGGTCAACCTGGTGTCCTCCAGGACACCCAGGGCCTTTTCTGCCAAGCTGCTTTGGCCCCCAGCATATCCTGGTGCCTGTGGTTGTTCCCTCCCAGGAGCAGTACTTTGCACTTCCCCTCGCTGAACTTCATGAGGTTCCCCCCCCAAGCTGGTCAACAGCATTGAGTCTGTCAGTCTGCAATCACTGCCATGGCCCTCTCCCAGTGAGCAAAGTAAAAACCAGAAGGAAACAAAAACCCCCAAGACCCTGCTGGGATGTGGGTGGGAGCAATCTGTCCTCAGACAGGCTGTAGGGGCAGAAGGGGCCAACTCACCTGCCCATCTTGCTGGAGATGGTGATGCAGCATCTGGGAATGAGGCTGTTGATGCGCAGGCAGGATATGGAGAAACGGGGCTGGAGCATAACCTGGGGCAGCACCGGGGTTCAGGGGCCCAGTCGATCCAAGAGCAGAGGGCAGGCTGAAGGGAGGCGGCGTGCCAGCATGGAATCCCTGCTTGTCAAACGTCTGCACGGGAGGTGAGGGGGACAGTGTCAGAGATTGGTGTGAGCAGCCTCATGGTGACCAAACAAGAACAAGAGTGGCCCAAACACACATCACCTGAACCTTTCACCAACCCCATGAGCAAGCCAAGTCACATCGAACCCTGCGAGCACTTCAGCAGATGAGTTTCAGCTCCTGTTCTCACCCATATTTCTGCACTAAGGCCTCTGACAGTTTATTTTATTTCCACAGCTGCTGTGTCCCTTTATTCACAGAATCACAGAATGGTGGGGGTTGGAAGGGACCTCAGGAGATCATCATGTCTCCAGAGAAGGAGACCCCACAGCCTCTCTGGGCAGCCTGTCCCAGGGCTGCGTCACCCTCACAGTAAATAAGTTTTTCCTCATGTTTAAGCAGAACCTCCTGTGTTCCAGCTTGTGCCCGTTGCCCCTTTGTCCTGTCACTGGCTACCACTGTCTGACCTTTTTTCCTCCAACCTCTTTTTACTCAGTGGAGCACAGGATGGCAGCAGCTGCCTGAAATCAGTCCTTCACACACTGCAGGGGATCAGCCTGGAATTACTCAAGCTACCTAGGGCAGCCCAACGAAAATGCAAGAACTTGCAGTAGTATTTTCCTCCCCACGGCCAAAGCTTCACTCCTAATGCTGTGTATAGCTGACATCTGGATTCCTACCTGTAAGCATGGACCACAGCCAGACATTGATTCCACCAGCTGAGGGTGCAAGGATGGGAAAACAAGGGCTGGATGTAAGCCCATCGCACACCACAACTTGTCTGCTTTCCCTGGAAGCTGTACACTGAGCAACAGCCACAGGAGAGCGTGGGACAGGGACGCTCAGGTGTTAGGGGTGGGCACTACTGACTGGTCTCTCTGGTGAAAAGCAAACAGCCTCTTGACTCACCTGCTCTGGGAGATATTTTGACTAAAAACACTGATGCCATCACACTTCATTTACACCCAGACCTCAGCACATGTGGGGCAGCATGGGCAGCGCAGAGCACTGCGCCTATGCCAGCAGCTGCTGCCAGGAGCTGACATGGCAGGAGTGGTGGGACAGAGGAGAGGGCGAGACTCCTCTCCAACAGCAAACAGAGCCAGGGTAAAAAATGGCACAGCCTGCTGGCCCTCAGACCAACCGGCTTGGGAACAGCCCCCCCAGCCTCCAGCTATGGGGAGGAGGGTCCAGCATTGCTCACCTGAGTCTTGTTATAGACTGAGCCACTGATATCAGGCACACCTGTGTTACTTGAGGTCACAGAAACACCTGGAGAACAAAGAGTCACCGACAATGACAAAGTTAACTACCACACACCCTGCTGCTGCTGCCCTGCTCTCAGACCCACGGCACCCCACATGGGAACAGAAGAAAGGGCTTGGTTCCTCGCTCCCCCTGCAAAGCAGGAAACCAGCCCACTGGGATAAATCACCCATGTCCACAACCCAGCAGTTACTGCTTGGATTCAAACACACTTCACTAGGCAGCAGCTGGCTACACCAAACTCTCATTTAAGCTCACAAAAAGCCAGCTTTCCCCTAGGATTTCCCCCAGGATTAGGGTTGAGTCTGGCTCTACTGCAGCACTCGAGAGCTTTCCAGTCGTGAACCGAGCGATGAGACTCAGCACCTGCTGCACATCTGAGCCCTCGTCCTTTCAGGCACTGCAGAAGGGTGAGGTCTGCAGTGCTCCTCTGCCCCGAGGGAATGAGCATCTCTGATTCGGGCCGGCTTCCACCTGGCTCGGCTGGTGCCACAGCAGGCTCAAAAACACTCACCAGCAAGATGACTCTCAAACCAGCCACTTATTCACAGTCTTAAAAAGACTGGCTCTAATTATTTCACTTGGATGAGAGTAACACCTGCAGTTCCTTTGGCCAGTGAATCAGAGGACTGGACTCAGAGGGTGTGCTCTGCCCTAAGGTTGTACCCTTCCTAGGACATTGCTCTGGTTGGGATTGCTCCTCTACAGAGGAGAGTGTGATCAGCTCTTGGCTGAAGACAATCCAGTTGGAGTTTCAAATGCACAGCAAATGCTCGGTATTTGCTTAAGCCCAAGGATGAACTAGTTAGTGCTAAGCAGTTCCATATACATTTCTCAGGTCTAACCAGCATGTGCAGAATGGAGCTTTCATATAAGCTGTATAAATTCTTCAGCCTTTACAGTCGCAAAGGAAACATTTCCAGGCACAAAACAATGTGATGAGTTACAGAGTGTACAGACAGCAGCTGCAACAACAGCCCAGAGATGTGTGAACTGCCCTGCTTGCTCCTAACACATGGCTATCTCAGGTGCCTACCAAAAAACTCAAAATCTAGTCATCATTTGGCAGAGGACCATTTCAGGGGCAGCCTCCAACTGCTTAGGCTTCAAAAACACAGCACTGGTGCAGGACTGCTATTCTACAGCAGAGAAAACTTTGGCAGAGGAAACAGCTCACCATTTCTCTCATGTATAACTGCGGATAAAGCTGCACACCAGCAAAACAAGTCTTTACACAAAGTTCAGCCACGAGGTTCAGAAGGAACACTTGGGCCATTAAAAAAAAAAGCATTTTGTATACGGGAGATGGAGAAACAGCTTGGATGGTGACCCTGTTTAGAGCTGGCTGCTGTGCTGCCTGTGCGGCACTGGCAATACTGTGAGTTTGCCCTACTAAATCCCACTCAAGAGCAACCTCAAGCTTCACGTGTTACCTTTCCCAGGTCCAGTGCCAGCAGATTTGTTTTGTGCTTGAGATGACCCACTGTAGCCTCCTTTGCTGTAATCTCCAGCTGCCGTTCCCTGCGTTAAGTCATCGTAGCCTGCCGGTGTGTACAAGACACGGTGTTACATACAGTGTGCAAGCAGCTCTGCAGATGCCCACGTGGAAAGCACAGTGGTAAGCATACCTGCTCCATAGCCGTGCTGCCCGTAGCCACTGGCCTGCTGGAAAGGAGTGGACGCGGTGTTCAGGTTGACTCCATGCTGTTTAGCAGATGCTGGAGGTACCTGGACAAAGGAAGGAAACAAAAGGGCTGTTAACTGGGGAACGGCAGGAAAAAGGCAACCACCCTCTGCCATCTAGTGGGGAAGGCACCTCCACCTCGTGTGGGAAATGTAATCTGGCGTTCACAGGATCATAGAATGTTGTGAGTTGGAAGAGACCCACAAGGATCATCAGTCCAACTCTTGCCCTAGAATAGGACAATCCCAATTTTCAGACCATGTGTCTGAGGGCCTTGTCCAAATGCTTCTGGGATATTGTCAGGCTTGGTGCCATGACCACAACCCTGGACAGCCTGTTCCAGGGCTCCACCACCCTCTGGGTGAAGAACCTTTTCCTAATGTCCAACCTAAACCTCCCCTGCCACATCTTCCTGACATTTCCTCTGCTCCTGTGGTCAGTCACCAGAGGGAAGAGATCAGCACCTGCCCCTCCTCTTCCCCTTGTGAGCAAGTTACAGACCGTGATGAGATCTCCTCTCAGTCTCCTTCTCCAGTTGGGAGCACTGGGATGGCAGTGGGACATGGCACCCATGCTTCCAGCCGTAACTTGCTGTAGTGGCTTTCTGCAACCCCCAAGTTTTCTGCTAGAGCTGCCTCTCTGACTGCAGTGCAACCCTGTCTCGGAACAGGCTGTGTATTTCTTTCATACGCTGACTGTAAACAGCAAATTCCTTACCCACAAACGCAACAAGCAGCAACCACAGTGCTCCCACTCCAGAATCAAACGGAACAGCAGCTCTTGCCCGAGTCTGTTTTGTAAAACACAGTCCTACAGCGCCCTAAAATAGACCCATCTACCCTTCTGCCTGCAGTATCACCTCTACCCAAATAACTCTTCTTCCTCCTGAGACTACCAGCACCGCTCTCTGACTTAATAGGGTCTCCTCCATCCTCAAAAGGATTTACTAGGTAGTCTCAGCTCGCTGACTCAGCTTTGGGTCTGCCCTTGACTCTCCAGAGACTGTTAAGGGCTTTCAGGAACACAGTCCACGAGCTGCAGCTGCCTGCTGTTTGCAGTAACCTGTGCAGGAGTCCATACATTCTGGCCTTTTAAATTTCCTGTTTTCCTGGGGAAGGGACTGCAGTTATATCTCAGGTTTTGGAGATCCCTTGCAAACTGGGGAAGACGACACTACTTTGTTCTCATGAGACCCAACCTGCAATGCAGCATCCAGCTCTGGGGTCCCCAGTATGAGAAAGACACGGACCTGTTGGAGTGGGTCCAGAGGAGGCCACAAAAATGATCAGAGGACTGGAGCACCTCTGCTATAAGGACAGGCTGAGAGTTGGGGTTGTTCAGCCTGGAGAAAAGAAAGCTCTGGGGAGACCTTATTGCAGCCTTTAAATACTTAAAGGAGGCCGATGAGAAAGATGGAGGAAAAGCTTTCACCAGACCTTGTAGTGGCAGGACAAAGGGCAATGGTTTTAAACTGAAAAAGGGTAGGTTTAGGCTGGACATAAGGAAGAACTTCTTTACGACAAGAGTGGTGAGACACTGGAACAGGTTGTCCAGAGAAGTTGTGGGTGCCCCATTGTTGGAAGTGTTCAAGGTCAGGCTGGATGGGGTTTTAAGCAGCCTGATCTAGCAAAAGATGTTCCTGCCCATGACAGGGGGGATGATCTTTGAAGGTCGCTTCCAACCCAAACCATCTTGTGATTCCAAGATGTAGAAGGTTTGTTTGGGCTGGACAGAGTAAAATCAGAGAGGCACGAAGGGAGGGTTACAGTTTAGGCTGTCACACTTACAAACATGGTTGGCCCATACTGGAATGCACTGGGTACACCCGGCACACCAGCGTAGTAAGGTAACCCAGTGTAGCTGTAGCCTGGGGGCAGGGTCGGGTTGAGGAAGGGCTGCTGAGTTGTATGGTGAGTCTGTGTCTGGTTCTGCTGAGGCTGGGCGAGTGTGGTAGCAGGAGCAGGGGAGGCAGAATCCCCACGGCCAAATTTTGTTACATCACCTGCAAAGAAAAAAAGAACCGATCAGAAAAGCTATCAAAGCTATTCCAAAAGTGCAGGATTCAAAGGATTCAAACCCTCTGAATACAAGTAGACAACTACAGAAGAGAGCACATCCTACACTTGCAAGCCTGCAGTTGTTCGTGGGAAGCACAGTCCTGCTCTTTGTCCCTGACAGCCACAGGACGTTACCTGTTTGTGGCACAGAACTCTGTGCCATGGCTAATCCATCAACAAAATCGAGATACCAATACTTACCTATCTCACACGGTCTGAGCAGATTCATTACTACCAGATCATTGTAATAAAACATGCTAAAAGCAGAAGTATGGTAAATAGCCAAAGAGCAAATGGTGGTTGGGTTAAAGTGTGACTGTCCTGGAAGTTAAAGTGATTAGCTAAGCTTCATGGGCTGAAAGCACGTTAGGATTTACAGGCAGTGATAGGTGTTTTTGTCAATGACTGTTTATTTGTCAAGGATGACTAGTTAGATGTTTGGTTCCTCACACCACCAAAGTTCTGCAGACAGTAGCTGAAGGCCAGGAAAGCAAGGCTTGCATCGTGGGCCACCTTATTGAAGAAGTAGGAAGGGAAATTTGGTTATTAACCCAAAAGCAGCGTCCCGAGAGAAGTGATTATGAAGCAGAAAAATCTCGAACACTTGCATTTTCTGGCAGCCTAGAGAGCAGCATGTTCATGTGTTTTTTTACGGAGATGACATATATCAGTCACATCTATCTCATTCCCAACCAGTATTCCTTCATGTTGGTTAACAAAAAGTATGACAACACTCCCATCATTATAGGGAGTTTTAGCCTACAGTTTTAAACTGCAATCAGATCGCGGCAGTGGAAGAAAAACACTGTCTGAAAATCCTGGATGGCATTAATGTCACCTTTGCATGATGATAACTGAAGAGCAAG